ATTGCTAAATAGAAGGTGTAGTTTTTTTGATTAACAGTTCCATAAGATTAAAGTTATAACAAAATCAGTTTTTAGAAGGGTTTATCGACGAAATTTAGCCAGCCGGGATCTAACTTACCATCAGTTTGGTCCCCCAGAAGAATCGATGAGGAATGCACTAAGCGACGATCTCTATTAAACTTTCCGGCTCCATGATTTATACAAGTCCTGTCGGGGTTTTTACTTCGAAATTGGTTTGTGTGGTTGACAGTCAAACCATGAGTGGTATCTGAAGAAGCACCTCCAGCGCTCTATATTTTTCCAAAATTAACGTTATTCGAAGGTTTTTCTCTGTCTTACTTTTTCTTATGCTTTGATTTTAGTTTCGCTATGAATCACGTCAATTTTCTAGCCTGCGGTCATTCCCAGGTGCCAATCGACAACAAACAGAGCGTCGAAAATTATAACGCTACAAGAATAATTCGCTGAAACGCATATTACTTGCATGGAGCAAACAAACACAGAAAGGTTTGCCAACTAACTCTCAAAGCAAATCCGGAAAAGAATGAAGACTCCACCTCCGCATTACACGAGCCTAAAAGGGATAGCGCCGTCAGTGACAAGCATCTAAAAGCGTGCAAAATATTCACCTTACTGCCTGCTTTCTTCAGAGGATCGAAGTTCTGTGGGGCGTTCACGTTTGCGCTTCCCTTCAGGGTGTAAAGTACAGAAATTTGGGGATATTGTGGAGGTTCCAATATAACAAATTCTTCGAGACCAATAAACTCGAAAAATCGCTTTTAAAAAATTTTTCTCTATTCTTGGGTGCTCGGTCCTGTAAAAATTCTAAAGTAGGGTACTCAAGAGGCTTCCTATCCACTATAGATGTGAATCTTTTAGTGTGTCTGGCTGGGTTTTCACATCGATTTTTGATTTGGGAGCAGGGTCAAGCGAGGCGTCGAGGAAAATTTGGAAATACGACCCCCCCCCCTCCCTCCGCCAAGGGCCGAAGTCCATGAAACGACCCCTCTTCAAAAGCCGAACTATGAAAAGGTTGTCTAATTCTCCCCCAAAACTGTTCATAAAAAAGCCCTGCTATCACACCGTCAACCGAAAATTCTTTTAAAAAGTACAAAAGTCAAAAAATAATCATTATTGATGAGTCCTACCAAACGAGCAAACGAAAAAAGCAGCAGAAAACCTCAAACTACTCACTAAAAATGCATACTATGACAACATCTCTTCTTTATTTATTTCTTTCACAAGACTTACCAAAATTTAGTACTACACAGAGTACGGTTATCAATTTACACGTCCCCCTTCAGTTGAAAGAAGCTTTTTAACCGTCTTAGCCAGCTGCGTGCTGACTGATCTTTGGCGTTGGCCGTGGGGCAGCTTATCTACTATTGAAATTTGAACAAATATTCAAATGATTATAACTTTCTTCAAATATGACGAAATTTTCAATCTGAAAGCAGATTTGGGAGTTTTGTAAAGAGCTCTTTCTAACCAGTATTGAAAATCACAAAAATTTATAAGAAATAACAAATTTAGATCGATTAACGAGGAAAATTCATGATGAGCACGAGTTTTTACACTTTCCGAGGCCGTAACTTGCTCCCTTTTCATCATTCCCGGAAAGTTAATATGTCAGACAAAACTAGAAGATTTTCTCTATCAAATGGTTGCTAAAGCAGCTTTATATGTCCACTATTTAAAAAATGGCCACGTTGAGGATTTTTGCAAAATTAACGAGGAAAATTTGCGATGAGTGCGAGTTTTTACGCTTTCCAAAGCCATAACTCCGTTCAAACCCATCCAATCTGAAAAGTAAATACGTCAGCATAAACTAGAAGAATTGCACTATTCAACGGTTACTAGGACTGCTAAAAACGTCCACAATTTAAAAAATGGCCACGTTGAGGATTTTTGCCCGAGTACCGCCGAAAGTCACTTTTTCGCTGCATTAGCACTACTCCAACGACTATAGCTCCTTTCAGGGGCAATTATACACTAAAGTAGGAGCAGATTCGAAATCCTCTTTCTTTTCTCTTTCCAAGAAGTGTAAAATTGTTTAGCGTGTCTTAACTTTAACGATTACATGCTTGTGAATTTGACGCTGAAGGCTGCATTTCTTGCTCAATAGTGTACTCCTCCATGTAGTCTCACACAGACCCTCAGATCCTCTTAATTTTTCTCTGAATTGAGAGTTTTTCTCTCAAGAGCCGTAGTTAAAGCGCGCGCAACTAACTGGGCCCACTCTGGTATGCGCCGTGTGCTTCACATCCCTTGAGATTCGAGGACTCACCTGAAAGATAAAATATCCGTTGGAAAACGTGCGAATTTTGGATTTTTTGACTTGTTAGTGATAGTTTAAAGATAAAACTCTGAGGTAGTGAAAAATCACTACGCGCACACCTCTGAATCACGAAAATTTTATGTGGGCGGAACAGCATTGGTACTGGAAGTCCTCTGGCCTTCCATGGCATCGACTCGATCCCTGATGTTTGTCCTCCGACAGTGGTGCATCAATCCGGCCCGATCCCTTCCTCCCAGCGGGCCAATACGACCCCCCCCCCCCCGACGTGTCGAGGATTCCTCAACGCACACTTGACCATATTTGGAGTACGAAAGTCGACAAGGGGAGAGCCTAGTTTCTGCATCTGATAATTGTCCTGGTGGTAACTGTAACTTTCGAGTCCCCGAATTTTCCATCTGTGGTGGTTCCAAACTTATTGAAGAGTTGAACTGTTGCTCATAAGAGCTTCCCTGATAGTTAGACTGCCGCTAGATGTAACGTGCCAGAGCCCCTAGTGAGTTCAATTTGAGGACTGACTAAGGTGATGTAGTTATTTCACTAGTTTTGAGAACTGCATGAAATTTGGTTTCATTAGGAAGAAGACATTGTACCCTTTCACATAGTGCACAGAAAAGGAGATGAAAATGGAGCGACTCGGAAAAAAGTGGATATGACCGCGCGCACGCGGTCCTCATAATTTTGGACCACCCTGTAATCGCCACATTTGGAAAGTTTTACGAAAAGTTTATAGAATAATTAAGGTATACACCTCGTTCGTGCATAGTTCTGACTTCTTAGAAACATTTTGCCAGTTTCAACGCCTCGGCGATAAACATTTCAAGTCTAGATTCGAGGAGATAGCGGTCATCATCGAGTTGTGGCGAAAAAACCAAAACTGAATGGAGAGCGACGCAAATTGTTAAACAATTTACTAGCAAAACGTTTGCGGAGGTCGTGGCTGAGCTCACGGTACATTCCTCATCAGTATGTTCTGGTGGAATAGAAAGCCTGAGCTATGTAGCTGTCACCTTGGCTGGTTTTCTTGAGTTGGACCTTCCATTTTGAAAACCTGGACTCCAACCCGTTCGCGGGAAACGTAAAAGATAAACACATGGCTCCATGAAGAAACTATTCCCTCTCTTAGGGTAGGTCAATTTCCGTTAAAGTAAAATTCCAGGGGAGAAATGCTTATCTGGAGAAGCGGGAATACTTATATAATAACTCAATTCTTTTGTATAATACAATACATGCGTACCTTGACCCTTAAAACTACCGGAAACACAAACCCCGGAATAAAAGTAGTGCATAAGAGCGCACCACAGTCATGGATGAACTGCAAAAGAATTGGAAGAGGAAAAGAAAAATTGGAAGAGGAAAAGAAAGCAAGAGAAGCCATCAGAAACGCTGAAATTAAGATTCCAGTAAGGTCGGATGTAGCACGAGGGCGAGACAAAACGATCAGAGAAGACAGAACACGCGAGAGAGCACGCCGTTCGAGAGAGCGCGCTGATCTCCACATCAATCGCGGTGGGTGGGAAGCGTTGCAATAAGGGTCGATGGTTGCAGCACCTTAACGATTAGCGCCCTAACCGCGCATTTTGTGCGACG